TCCACCGGCTCCACTTGCTCACCTTCCTTCTGGGTTGAATATGAGATCAAAATGACTTACTCATTTCAGTTAGACATAAAGGGAATTACTTTTATTATCAGTAGGATCGCTGTAAATCTAGTCTAGGTGTTTATACGTTTTGCGGAAATTCAGAATACACTTCCACACGGTGTAGCGGCGCAGCTCAGGCGTCCTTCGGAAAAGTGATATGTAACTTATGTTAGCGCTGACACGAATCGGATTACAAAGTCTCAAGGAGAACGTCCGAACCGCTATTAGCAATGTTCGCGACCAAAAGCGTCGCTGCGGTCAGCTTTCCACGATTGGCCAAATTATGGGTATATGAGCGTTGTCAGATTGTCAACTTTGATGATGTTAGTTTTGGATTGCGATGGCTCTTAGCTTCCACTGTGCTTTTTAAACACACCATCGAGCTCGTCGTCGCACCTGGAGGTAAGTAGCCAGGGTAACAACTGGTGACGTCACGGCGAGGCGAACCCCAATCGTGACGTCACGGATGGAAACCATAAGAGGGCGCCACCTAAAGATATCGGCGTTAATAGGCATTTTCTTGGGAATGAGAGGGTGGGGTTGTTGGCTGATCCTATGAAATGAATTCTCGAAGCCTTTACTGCATTTTAAGCGTTATTCTCTCATTACGCACACTCTTTGGGAAAGAAAAAAGACTTCCACATCATCTACTGCGCTCCAACATATTCAGCCTTGAACGCAAGAATACGGCGTTCACTACAACTCCGAAGGCGAGAATGTGGAGAAACTCCTGTTACGCTCGCACTTTCAATAAGAATGAAGAGGTGCACGATCTGGATGCGGTGCACAGTGTATTCATGCGTTGAAAACACGAAATCGCAATAACCACACATAAATGGATGCACATCATTGTCTGCCATTTAGAGCGTCTGTCAGCAAAGCCGACGTAGCAGACACGCTTTGACGGCTGTGAACGCAGAAAGCAGACGACGAGCAGATGGCGAACAGATCACGTGACGTCTTTACTGGATTTTATCCGACGTTATCCACCGATCGGAGAAGTGTAGCTTGAGTAATTAGGAGTAAACAACCCGCTTCTGGAACGCGAGTTCTAACGTCATCCAGTAAACGCGAGTAAATTTCTTCAACTCGGCGGTACGAAACCTTTAGTCCAGAGTCGGATCGAGTAAATTATGGACCACAGCGTGTGTATAGTTTCGTTATGGGGTCACGTGACGTGACGTCACGATGTCAGGTCACAGTGTCACTTGACGTCGTCCCGGCGTCCCGTGATTTTATAGCAGTGAAATGATGACGTTACACGAAATACAGTTTTGTGTGACGTTAAGGTGTCGCGTGGATGGCGTCACTTTAATGTCGTGACGTCATCAGAGTGACTTCGCCATGGAGGACACATGCAGAACAAGCCACGGACACGAAAGCGCTAAAGGACCATTCGCTCATGAGCGTTTGCTCATGTTTGCTTACGCTACGTATGAGTCACTGGCACCTCCGTGCCTCGAATGTCGCTTGCAGGTCTACCTATTGAACTGGTTGTCATGCTTATACAAATTAGGGCTCGGTGACTTTCTTTCAACGTAATACGACGTTAAGCTTTTGCAACATAGAACAACGTAAGGAAACGGTGCTCCGTGCTACTCTGTGCCTTTGGAGCTGGCCCTATGAATGCCATGCATTTAGAACAAAGAACGGCAGCGAGGGTATACTCAACGGTGATTCTTTGTCAGATGTTGCGTAGTCGAGGCCAGAGCAGCTAGGAGTCCTAGACTGGGTACGCTTGGCGGCGGCGTTTCGCCGTCGCTGGCGTTCGGCTGCCATGATGTTCTAAAGCCCCTTTATCAAGGGGCTTTAATGATGTTTGGGTCTTTCACAAAGGTGACTCAAACAGGACCAGTCGTTCTCTTTTCTCCGCCTGGGTTGCGAACCTGGCTCCACGTTACCACGCGCTGGTAGAGCGAGCTCGTGCGTTTGTGTCTTCAGACATAGCCTCCTCTATAGACGCTTTGCAGCAGCTGTGCATGGACGCCGCCATAACTGACCTTCAGTTTTTGCTTCCTCTTACTTCGTTTACTTCACTTCATCATTACCATAGCAGGCATCATTGTCTGCCATTTAGAGCGTCTGTCAGCAAAGCCGACGTAGCAGACACGCTTTGACGGCTGTGAACGCAGAAAGCAGACGACGAGCAGATGGCGAACAGATCACGTGACGTCTTTACTGGATTTTATCCGACGTTATCCACCGATCGGAGAAGTGTAGCTTGAGTAATTAGGAGTAAACAACCCGCTTCTGGAACGCGAGTTCTAACGTCATCCAGTAAACGCGAGTAAATTTCTTCAACTCGGCGGTACGAAACCTTTAGTCCAGAGTCGGATCGAGTAAATTATGGACCACAGCGTGTGTATAGTTTCGTTATGGGGTCACGTGACGTGACGTCACGATGTCAGGTCACAGTGTCACTTGACGTCGTCCCGGCGTCCCGTGATTTTATAGCAGTGAAATGATGACGTTACACGAAATACAGTTTTGTGTGACGTTAAGGTGTCGCGTGGATGGCGTCACTTTAATGTCGTGACGTCATCAGAGTGACTTCGCCATGGAGGACACATGCAGAACAAGCCACGGACACGAAAGCGCTAAAGGACCATTCGCTCATGAGCGTTTGCTCATGTTTGCTTACGCTACGTATGAGTCACTGGCACCTCCGTGCCTCGAATGTCGCTTGCAGGTCTACCTATTGAACTGGTTGTCATGCTTATACAAATTAGGGCTCGGTGACTTTCTTTCAACGTAATACGACGTTAAGCTTTTGCAACATAGAACAACGTAAGGAAACGGTGCTCCGTGCTACTCTGTGCCTTTGGAGCTGGCCCTATGAATGCCATGCATTTAGAACAAAGAACGGCAGCGAGGGTATACTCAACGGTGATTCTTTGTCAGATGTTGCGTAGTCGAGGCCAGAGCAGCTAGGAGTCCTAGACTGGGTACGCTTGGCGGCGGCGTTTCGCCGTCGCTGGCGTTCGGCTGCCATGATGTTCTAAAGCCCCTTTATCAAGGGGCTTTAATGATGTTTGGGTCTTTCACAAAGGTGACTCAAACAGGACCAGTCGTTCTCTTTTCTCCGCCTGGGTTGCGAACCTGGCTCCACGTTACCACGCGCTGGTAGAGCGAGCTCGTGCGTTTGTGTCTTCAGACATAGCCTCCTCTATAGACGCTTTGCAGCAGCTGTGCATGGACGCCGCCATAACTGACCTTCAGTTTTTGCTTCCTCTTACTTCGTTTACTTCACTTCATCATTACCATAGCAGGCCAGGTTATTGCCATCCTAGATTCAACTGTGTCCTTTTGTAAAGCATCGGCCTTTGTAGAGGATCGTCAACTACCGTTTCAGTGACTCGGCATCTCGGTATGACAAGAGAAGGTCAGCAATGGCGGCTGTAATTTGGCGCGTGTGTAAAGCGTCTATAGTGAGAAAGCCTGACAGATCGCCACGAGACGCGGCGCCCAAAAATGAAAAGGTAGAGCGGCAATACTGGCGCCCCGGTGCGGCCCAATCTTGCTGCGGACGCCTGGGGTGGCGCAGCCAGTCACAGAAGGGCCCGAAGGCCGGTCAGGCAGCGTTTAGCGAGGCTGGCTTGGGGCGTGTTAGTCTAACTAGTTCTTCTTGTCTGGCATTTTGTGTGAAGCGACACAAAATTGTGCGGAGAGACAAGTGCCAAGGGTCAAGTGGAGAGGAAAACATCGGATAACCCTACTTAAACTTCACTTTCTTAATGCTTGCATGTAAGGTGAAATACACAATTATTCTTGAATAACAGCGAAACAAAAAAAATAAATAAATAAATAAAAAAAAGCGAGAATATACCCGTGATTGACCGCTTCCAAACGGCATTTTCACTTTGAAAACAAGCTTGTGCTGCTCGCGCAAGTCACGCTTTTTCAAAGAGTTGTGAGATAGGGTGGAACCTTTTCGTTCTTACAACCGAGCCGACAGAACCAATCGAAGCCAATATCGCTTTATGCTCCAGTGAAACTGAGTTATGTAACAAAAATGAAAGACGTTTACAAATCTTTTTGACGCGAACTTAGAACGCAGCTCTTGAGGAAGAGGAAGGGAGGGTATGCCCCTCCTATCCCGTACAATATCCTCCTCCTATGCTCCTCCTCCTTCCCTCCCCTCCGCCTCCTTCGAACCCTCCCCCTCCTTCTCCTCCATACCCTCCCCTCCTCCCATAGTTTCCTTGCTAAATTTAGCTGGAAAATTGACGACACGTGACCTCAACATCAATTCAGTTTCCCCGCTAAATTTAGCAGAGAAAATTACATAAAATATTCATGTTCCGCCACCCATCAACAAATTCAGTTCCTCCGCTAGATTTAGTGGTAAAATTGACGTCCCGTGACCTCATCACCAATAGACCTATTGCTATATTAACCAAGCACCAAGGAGAATGCAGGGATTGGTGTTCCATGCGCCGAACGTGGTGGCCTCAACAGTAGGAACGCTCCTAAAGCAAACGCCTAAAACAGATGGCATCTTGCACGCGCGTTCGTGAATGCTTTATTTTCGTTATTTACTTCGAATCTTTTATACGGAGAAGGCGTGCGCGTGGGGGCGCGTGAAACAGAGGGGAAACTGAATTGGTGTTGAAATCATGTGACGTCGGCGTTTCCGCTACATTTAGTGGCGAAACTGATTGCGCAGTGTTGCATTATGGGAAGTCACAGAGCTACACACCAATTCAGTTTTTTCGCTAAATTTAGCGGGGAATTGAATTGGTGTATAGGTCTGTGACGTGCCATAAAGCAACACGCACGATACGCCGACGGCGACGCCGTTATACGTGGAAACTGGCTCCCTAAGAGCTGAGATATAAAAAACAATCTTTCGGACGTCGCATGCCGATAAAATAAATGCTCATAAATTCTGCTGGGCGTTAGAAAACAAAACGATATACAACGAGCAGGTGTCTTATTTATTGCTGTGATCCACTTTCTTCGTTTTTTATATAATCCAAAGAAGGAACCGAAGTGCTCTGACGGAGGCAAAATCATTAATGAGGACGACATCAGTACTGGTGATGTAGCCCGGCTGGAGAATCCACGGAAAGTACCGTCGAAAGATTCAGCGTCCTGTCCGTGGATAACACGGACATCTTTGAACCTGCGGAACGGGAGATGCGATTATTAGGGACTTTTAGCAAACCGTAAAGCCTGGTTCAGACAGTTGCGTTTGACTGCGTTTGACTGCTTTGCGGCAGCGAGAAACCAGGACATCCCTGCTGCTTATATCGCGTGCCAAGATGATTCCTTGGATTGAATTCCACGCTTCATACGAAGCACAGATGTGCTGGTGACTAGCTTTCCGCACTCGACGCAACGCAGTCAAACGCACTCAAACGCAAGTGTCTGAACCGGCCTTAAGCGTGTACCGCCTACCGCACTACCGGATCTAGGGTGCCTCAATGTCCTTCTGTTTAGAGTGATGCCACAATTTGTAGTACCAGATACCGACAGCACGCGCTCACAAGGAAAATACAAAGAAATCGACGAAAACAAAATGTCGCCATAGCACAGTCAGCGCCACAAGCGCGTGCAGGGACACGCTCTTTCACGCGCTTCTCAACAAAAAATAAAAATAAACGTGTGTGACAAAATGGCGAGATGCCACCACCCTAAGCAAAGCGCGCATGAAGGCACCCTAACCGGATCCTTTGAAACATGCTTTTAAGCGCGCGCCTGGGTGATACCGTCAACGCAGGGCGGGCGCTTAAAAGCAAGCTTCAAAGGCTTCGGTTGTACGCAGAACTCGGATACGGTTTGCTAATTCTTTTTATTATATGGCGGGTACCGAATGTTGATCATACACGCAATAACGTAAATGTAAATAAAGAGATCAAGAAACAAAATTAAAATTATTACAGGTTGTTCCGCCTGCCCGTATAAGTAATCGACTTGTTCTAAAAAGAAAGCTGAAGATCTGTGGATGTGACACTAACGGTGGTGATAGAACGCAAGAGGTCGGGAACGCTGACGTGACCAGTACCAAAGTATCAAAGGTTAATACAGAGAAACGAAATTTTTTAAGGGCCGACGTCTACGTATACTATATTCGTCAAACAAAAAATGACATTGTGAGGTCCTCCAGAATTTATTGCACACACACGCAAAAAAAGCAACCACCTGTGAGCTATACAATAAGTAAGATAGTATTGTTTTAACCGGCAAGATATTTATTGAACTAAACGTCACAAGCATCCACACAGCGTATATTCCTGGTTGACGAATATCTGCGCTGACGTCTGCTGATAGAAAGTTTTTTTTTTTTTTTCGTACTTGGTTTTAGGTATTGTCATGTTTTCAAATTTTGGGAGCCGAACACCACCGGCTGCGCCAGATTCATGGATTTTCAGGTAGATTTCTGCGTTGCGTATTTTACGTATGCGGTCTGAAAACTGGGATTTATATTATTTGTTCGACCTTGTACATCTACAGATACAATAAAACGATCTCACTAAGCGTTCGGAAATGTTACTAGAACAACACAGGTAAGGAACTGCCATAGGAGCTTGCTTCGAAAAGTACCCCCCGATTCGTACTCGAGAACCGAACTAAACGCGATCGCAACGCCGACATTTCTCCCGCAGTGACCACTCCGGGAATTGCACGACTGACGGTACTGGCTCCGTCAAGTCGCGCAAGGGCCGGTGGCGTCATTACAAGGAACTAGAGAAGGGGTAGTGAGATCAGCAACCGACGCGCGCCATTCATCGCTGCAAAGCGGCGAGCGTGGAAAGGCCCCGGATGTACGCAGCGGCGCTGCAGTAGCCTGGGCTGGAGGATCCGAGCGTTCCCACGGGATTCGGCGAACATGTTTGGCTTGGCGGTTTGGTAGCCCGAATCGGCTCCCGTTCAGATCTTTTCCCCTTATTTTCTGTCGCTTATGTGTATTGAAGTGCAATGCCGAATGGACTGCGACGACAACGATAACGCCAGTAGTGCAGCAAATGCTACGGGCTACTACACTTCGTTTCAGCTGAAGTCCAGACGCACCCAATGCTGCAAGCGCGAGCTCGGGGATTTCAGCATCCCTGCTAAGCACGCGGGCTCGTGCAGTGCAAGCACCGTTCTGGGCCACATCTCGCGCTTGTAGCATTGGCTGCGTCTGGACTTCAGCTGAGGCGACGTAGACAGCCTATGCTTTAGTGGCGCCCTCTCGTGCCGTCGACACGATGTGCGGCAGCCGTGAGCGCTCGCTAAACTCACTACCCCTCCCCTAGTTCACTTTAGTGTCATCTCGCAGCACCATGACTGCAGCGCCGCCAAAGGGCGGCGCTGCAATCGTATCGCTTTCGGTCTCGGTGGACGCGAGCGGTCAGAGTTTCAAAGGCGAGTATCTCAACTGAGTGCCTTAGCCACGTTGGCGTTCATTGCATGGGCGATGCCGCCATAACTTCAGTTCACAAGGGACATACGGCAACGCACGAGAGTGCTCTGCCCTCTCGTGCTCCACGCTCGCAGAGCTCTAGCGAGGTTGTCGCACGTGCTGAGACAAGTTCCCTTGATACACTGAGGCAGCGGTGGCATAGTCGAACTGGCCAATGACATAGGGATATTTAATAACGTAATTAAATATGCGCCACTGAATGTTATATGCACGACACTAGCAACTAGAACATTCTACATGGAAGAGTTGATACCACCTCGAGCTACTGATCTCAAGTTTTTTTTGTGTGTAGCGTTTGACCTTGCCAGCTTGTCAAAATATCAGGTAAATGACTTCAGCTGTTGATGGCGTCATACGTTGCATTCACTTGTGCGCTTATTCAGCAGATTAGTTAGCATGGTTATGGTGACCATAGAGGACAGCATTTATCATACGAAAGGAGGCGACGGCGTGGCAAAATCAACTAGGTTTTTGGGCTCTTTCGCCGCGGTTTACAATGAGAGGAACGTGAGGAAAAAGAGTTGGAAATGAAGACTTAGCGCCGATTACTTATATTTTTCGCTGCCTAATACTTTGACGAGCCTTGCACAAAACGCCTGTTTTTAAAGCCATCCGGCGGCGGGTTTTTTTTTTTTTTTTTTCTGGAACATTGGTCTTAAAGATCAAACTTGCTCTTTTTGCTTAGTTCTTTTGAGCAGCCTAGATCAAGTCAACGCCCCGTAATGCCTGAAATCCACTAGGGCGACAAAGAAAAACAAGCGGCACCGATCAACCTGAAGCCCTTGCATAATGCACGCAAATGTACACACGCAAACGTACGCAAACGTTTTGATTCCTCAATCAGATCCCAGTCTGAAGAAAACATTCCAGCGGTTGCCGTGACAAATGTAGTTTTGAGTGTCTCGCAATAAATCAATATTCGGGTAGTTGAGCTTCGGAGTTAAGCTTGAGAAGCACTGTACCTTCGGAAGGCTTTCAATCGCTCTTGCTCATTTAACGAGAACCGGGAGACTGCAATCCTGCCAAAGGTATCTTCGCGTGCGCACTTAACGAATTTGAGGTTGATCGGTGTTTTTTTTTTTTTTTTTTTTTTTTTTTTTTTTTTTTGCCTTTGCCGCATTAGTAGGGCTAAGACAAAAGGCGAAGTCAGGGACGTTATTTATTCATTTGACAAAGAGTTAATCCACAATAAGAGCCCCGCATGAAACTTTTAGCATCAACTCACTCAGGAAATAATAAGTGCTGAAGCCGGCCACCAGAACAAGCCAGCCGACGACAAGTACTATGAGACCGGCCATCTTGCCAAACGCTTTGCCTCTTTTGACGCTGAAGAGGGTCGTTGTCATCGCAGGTGTGTTACGATATGCAAATATAAAAGTTAATAGACAATTAATTTATTTCTTCCACCGCAAAAGAATAAATAACACGAACTGTAATCACTAAGGGCAAAAAATGTTGGGGCGTGTTGCTAAACCCGATTTTTACAGCGGAGCTGTTAAGGGCTAGTTTTCCCACTTTCGTGTCCGGTCCCAAACAAATGTCGACTCAAAACCACGCGAAACTCTGGGCGGCTACCGCCATCTATGAGTGACGGCGACAACCAGACAACGAGTCTGGTTGCCGCCGTCGCTCATAAATGGCGGCAACCTTTCCAGCTGTCATAAAAGAGTGGATAGTTCGGCGAGTTGGTAGGAATTCATCGTAGGAAACAGCGCGTAAAACAGACGAGGACAAAGAAAAAACACACGGGACGTGCGCACAGCTTCGCTGGTCTTCCTTCTTCACTAGAGTGAAAAGGCTGAACGTTTTTCATAACAAGGCACCCAGTAAAATCGTTGGCTCAGCAACCAAAGATCGTCATATCTATCCACTTAAAATCAATTGATTTTTTAACCATTCTTCCTTATATGCTGTGTACATGCTGCGGTAGAAGGGAGGTAATGAAAGGGTAGATGCAAGAGTCATGACGGGAGTAAAAGGAGGTGAAGTTAAATAAATTCAAAACTACGGAAGAGTTAGACAAAAACGACGGACAGGACAAACATCTTTCCAACGCCCTACAGGAAGGTCATGACGACTTTACATTGACGTTGTTCACAAGAAATGAGAAAGCCATTTGATTAAATACACGAAAAATGTTTTTCCTTTCCTTTTTGTTTTGTCTAACTCTTTCGTATTTTTGAATCTATTACCAACGCGCTCAATCCAAGTTTAAGTTAAATAAACTCGTGGAGGCTACGCTTGCCGAATACAATCCACTTGAATCAAGCCTAATATGGCATTTCGGTACTGTATGTGCCCACGTAAAAGGACCAACGCCTCACGGGAAGGTCATAACGACTTTACATTGACGTTGTTCACAAATAAAGAGAGAACCATTTCATTAAATACACGTTTAATAATAAGAACAATACATTTAAAAGGAAATTTTATCTGTTATTTAAGTCTGAGAATAAGGGGTTTTGGCCCTGTGCTTGATCTTGAAGGGAGAAAACGTCATGCACAGAGCTTCCCGCCCGCAGATGATATGGCCACGTGACCCCTTGATGTCACGCTGTTCCTTGACACAATGACGTCATATGGCCCGATCACGTGGCCACGTGATGTCAGGAGAGACTCGCCTGAATTGGTCATCTGCCCAAAGTAGTTTGACGGGAGCCCACGCACTTTTTACTTATGGCTAGGGTTTGAAGAGCCCTAAACAATGTTGTGAAAAACAGAAAGTTTGTTCCTTTCTCTTTAAAAATAAAAGACAAAAAGAGAGCGTGAGAGAGAGTTGGAGGTTCACCGCACTTACCAAGAAGCAGGAGTTTCCTCCTCGGCCTGACTTCGGGCTCCGTGGAAATCGGTAATGTCGGCCTTAGATTCCAGCTCCACTTGAACCATGTCGGACAAGAGATCACCGGATGCCACCATCCGACGACACGGCTTCATTAGGAGTACCTCTCCTGGGCACGTCGCAGGACCGGTCAAAAAGTTCAACAATAAGGACAAGTTTCATGTTGAACAGCGACAAACGGGAATCTCCAGAGGCAAAGGAAAGCTGGTCAACCAGAATTGATTAACTGTAAGCCACAAGAAGAATTGAAGAAGTAAGGACGGATAGCTTTATAAGAGCCGGGAAATATATATTTGCTGGTACCTCTTACGCGTGCAGTTTTTAGTTTTCGGTATTTGTATTTGGCAAATGTATACGAAATAAATTGGCGTTTCCATTGCTAAAATAAAACTGAAGTGCATTTATCGATGCTTATGCGGAGAGCAAGTCGTCTGCTTCTTCCGCAGGAATTGCGGTGACGTCAGAAAGACGTTGAGCTCTGATTGGTTCTGCTTAAAGGATAGTGAGCAGATCTAAAACAACCTGCCTTGAGGTCTGCCCACTATCCTTCAGTCATAGCCAATGAGAGCTCGGCGTTCTGACGTCACCCCGGCCCCTGCAAAAGAAGCAGACGAACTTGCGCTCCGCATTAGCAGTGTTCATGATTCTACTGCGTATTAAATATGCAAAAGCATAAAGCCAAGGAGAAAGCAGCGGTACGAATCTAAGCGAACCTGGAGCGGTAGGCACCGCAGCTTTTGCTAATAACATTCGGTCTTGCGTATGGGTGTAGAGGTGTTTATGCAAGTCCACGGTGTTCACATTTATATACACCGATTCGTGCCTATGTACACTGCAGCAGAGACAAAAATAAAATATTAAACTCATAACAGCTGATGGGATTTAAAAGGAATATATTTGATTGACAAAGATTCGGAATGGGCTAGTTGTAGAATCGTCAAAATCTATTACTCGCGGTAAAGAGCGTGGCACATTTCGCGTGAACGAGATAACGCGTGCTTTTAAATGTATTTTAAGAAAAAAAAAAAAAAAGATGCCACCAAAATTATTAGTGCATCTGAATGTAGTTACCCGGTTCCTTTACTCGGGCGGTAGAATTCGGCTCTTGTAAACATCTCGTAAAAGCACATTAAAAAAAAAAAAAATCCTCCAATACCAATTTTGGTTTACATATGTCCCGAAGTGAAGAATAATTTTCTTTTTTTTTCACGTTAAATATTCAAGACGTCGTGATTAGTCCTTCGGCGCCTCTGTTGGACAACGTCACAATCTGATTGGCTGCACATCGATAATGACATGCTGGAACTCGCCACGCTCTCAACTCTCTGACGTCACGGCACTGCGGTGGCGCTGCTGTCGGCTCTGCGGATGCGCACACACTTCACTTCTCTCGATTTTGGTTTCTGCAAAGTGCCCACAAAGCGCGCTTCTTTGGAGACGGTGTGTGTGACTATAAAGAAACATCACTTGTTCCATGGTCGTTCCGTGTAACTCTTATAAATTTAACACCATATCCGTCTGCAACTGGCGAAGCAAGATTAACACCAACAACTATTGGCGACGCAGAGGGCCAAAAGCTTCGCTGTAGTCGGCATTCGCGATTGGCCAACGCTCATTAGGACATCTTTATATGGATTAATTCAGATTGTATTGACGGAAATGAGTACAATATCAGACAGATCACTTTCACGGGGGTGGTGTTAGAATGCGATGATTCTAAACTGCCACCGTGTTTTTTTTTTTTACCTCTTTTTTACACACACCGTTGTTTTTGTCGCTCTCGAGCTACTGGGCATAAATATCCAGCATCACAACTCATGTCCTCACGGCGAGGCAATTTCTGGCCGTGACGTCGCGGACCAAAAGAGTAAGAGGGCGCCACCGTAACATTTTCGCGCTAATACATCTTTGCAAGTACGGCCTCCGGGCGCAGCCATCTTGCTCGCTCGGGGCGCGCTCGGATGTGGCCTTACTTTGATCTCGAGGCAGGCGTCGTGATTGGATTATGGCCGCGCCCGAGCGCACCCCAAGCGAGAAAGGTGGCGGCGCTCAGAGGCCGTAACACGCCAACCTGCATAGAAACAACGAGGCAAAACCGACCGATGATGATGTCCCCGCTGCCCGTCCGTCTTAGAGGCTCGCCGGTGTTTGAAGACCTCCCGGGTCCGGCGTTCAATGACGTGAACGAGTACGTGCTCCGACATCCGGACGGGGAGTCGTGGGCTCGGAGAGAGGCCGCCGTGAAGCCGCGATGCGCCGGCGGGTGCAGCTGAGAGGAGAGCGAACTCCCCTTGCCTGCCACGCGTGCAAGACGCGACGCAGAGCCGCCGTCAGTTGCACCTGTAAGTCCCCGAGTCTTTCAGTAACGATACGATGGACGGATGACTGGAGTCAAACCCCTAAAGCCCAAGTTGCACAGATCATGCATCATACGAAAGGTAGCTAATATCACCGGGCCAATGCTTTAAGTTTCAACAATTGACCTGCCCCCGGATTTACTCATTCTGAGCAGAGAGAGCACCCAGTGTTCGTCATGTACAAACTTAATTTGGGGGAACGTTGTTCTTTCCCTTGAGGCCTGCACGTCTGAAGAGGGTGGCCGACGCTAGTCCTGCGGATGCGCGAGCTGCAAAAACAGCCAACAGAAGTGCCGTCTGCTATTTCACTTGATCGCTCCTGTGGAGATCGTCCTAACGCTCCGGGGCTCAGAGCTCGTGCAGCGAAAACTCGCGCTGCGAAACCCGACCATCTTGGGTTGAATTATTTGCCCTGCTTTGGTTCAACCCCAGGCTAGCCGTGGCACTGCGATGGCTAAAGTGCTCATGTACACCGGAGGCATCAGATGGTTAGTGAGGCTGAGTAACTTCCCGCTCTCTAAACAAGCACACAGCATAACTACTCGCACCATGGCTAGAATGTGACGTCATCCCACAATAATGATGGTTATGCCGCTCTTGTCGGGAAACACAAATTGGAGCGTTTTAGTAGGTCATTCCGATACCTGCGATACCACCTGTCGGGTATCGTTAGCAGAGCCATTGGAACGATCTACTAAGATTCTGTAATATCTGGTGTGAAAAGTATGATGATGCAGACAATATGCGCCCAGCTGCAGGGCTTTTCGCTAATAGAACGCTAATGCATGCCATGCATAGAACTTACGATCTTATGTGTAAATACATTTAATTTCCTCTTTTTTTTTTAGAAACAACAGGCCTTTCTATCCTTTTTTTTTTGCAATGAAGATACATTGCTCTCAGGATTGCCATTACCACAGGCATCACTGGACTGTATTGGGACGCTAGGCACACTCACATGGTCAATGCATAGCTAATAACGGCTTCCCGGATGGAAGTCACGCCCGCCTAAGGTAGACAAACTTGTCTGCCAAATCCTCCTTACCTGAGGGATCAGAAACAAGACCGTGTTCGTCCGCCATGACTCAGACTCCACTGCCTGAACCAACAACTTGGTTTTAGCGATATATCCACGCGCTCTTAACCTAAAGGAAGGCGGCGTCTGCTTTGTCTTCGTCTTTTTTGATGCTCAGTGGCACGTAAAGAAAAGAATGCGCGCTGGAGCCGCTAGGGGCTCTTCGGTTTTGAACATTGTTCGTGCGGATGCCGAGGCAGTGTTTGTTTTAGAAAGCACCGCTTTTCGACGGGCGACTAGAGGAACAGAGTATAATCACGCTCTTTTCGCGGGACGGCCGAGCGAATGGAGAGGCCAGAAAAGAGCTTTACGCACCGGGGATCTCGGAGACCATGGTCCAAAAGTAGTTTTTTGCTACCCGCTACTATCGTACGCATGGGTGTGATTGGAGTGCGCAATGGAAGCCTGCTAAAACAGAGAGCTCGCGCTATGGTGGCACCAATTTTTACAGCGGAGCTGTTGAGGGCTAGTTTCCCCAGGATCGTGTCTCCCGCGAAGAAATGAAGACACCGAACTCTGGACACCTACCGCCATCTATGAGCGACTGCGGCAAGCCACGTATCTGGTTGCCGCCGTCACTTATAGATGGCGGCAGCCTTTCCACTCTGGCTTGCCGACTTGCGGCCGGCCATTACTTTGAAATGCACAGCTTCGCTGGTTTTCCTTGTTCATCAGAGTGGAAAGGCTGAAAGTTTTATCATTCTTCCTTTGTTCATTCATTGTTTCTTGCAGGGTGTCGAACCGGAACCGAACCGAACCGAAAACCGGAACAGAACCGTTATTTTTAGCCGAACCGGAACTGAACCGAACCGAAATCTTCGCCGTCATCTTGGAACTGAACCGGAACTGAACCGGAAAAAAATATAACGGTAACCGGTTCAAAACGGTTCACGGTATTTTTTTTTGTTAGTATTACAAATTTATTATTATTGGCACGTGTATTCCTCTACGTATTGATCAAATCGTCATATACAGAATTGCAATGTATAATAAATCCTGGTTTTTTGCGGCGCTTTCTTATTGGCACTATGATTAGCCATGTGTCACAATGTCACGTGACGTCATGATGTCAAGACATGCTGTCAAGTAATGTCACATCACGTGACCCCGTGACGTCACGTGACTCACCGCGTTAAGTCGATTCGAATTGAGGACGTCGCTAGATCTATTAACGTTGTTGATACCGTGACGTCACATGACATCACAACTTCACACTGAGAGTCACGTGACACCATGATGTACCCGATTGTCATGATCCCGAGTCAAATGCTCTGGTTCATGACAACCAGTATCGCCAAACATTCGGGTAACGCTCGTGTTCAACTCAAAGATTATGATGGGCCCGAGTCCCGCTAGAGCTAGAAACAGAAACAAACGAAAGCGACAAGCCTCAGACACATGCAGCATGTTCGCGATGGTACCTTTATACGGCTTTGAGTTGTTCGGTGCTCGCGAAGTTAGCACGAGTGTTTACAAGCCTGCAAATGGTACCATCGTGTGCATGATACTCGTGTTTGAGCATAGCCTTCTTTATTCTACAAAGCCTGTCAAATCGCGAAATACTCTGGTTTAAGGCTAGCCGCTGTCGCTTGTTTCTGTTTGTCGCTTTAGTGGGGCTTTGCCAACCCTGCGTATGACTATGATAAACACTGACGGTGTATATATTAGGATCAGATCACGTGGCTGATAGTTCTAATTGTGAGTTGAGGAGGGGAAAGCTGTTTCATTTCTTTCTTTCGACTGTCTGCCATTTCGCGGAGGGGCAAACTAATGGATGCTTTTGCAAGTTATCAACGTCAAGGATTACAACTTAGCGGTATTTATTGAACTTAAGGTAAAAAAAAAAAAAAAGATGCTGCACGACCGATTTTACATGTATGCACACCATTGAGGCTCCCAAACATGTTTTCGCTATTGCTGAACTGCCTCAGAAAGTTGTCCCGAGAATAGAAGTGTTAAAGGGTCTAAATGTGACGTATTAGTCGGACGTTACATGGAACTATTAGTGTGTACGGGAGGGATACCTGAAAAGAAAGATCCTAGTGGCCTCACGGGGATAGCCGAACGTTGGCAGCCGCTCTAAGTCTCACAGGAGTGTCGCTCTCAAGTTCTCCAAGTTTCGACCGCCCTGTATTTTGTTTAAACTTCACAGTGTGGTGCAAAGTTAAAGCAAGGAAGAATTACTGTTAACAAGTGACACAAATATAATTGTCGAGTGAACACCACTCAATACGGAGCAGGCAATCCCTGAGGAATAAAAAGTATCTTGAGGAGCAACTACAAAAAAAAAGGGAGTGGGGAGGGGGGTAGCTTTAATGCATACTGTGTCGTAAAGATTCCTCTGCCCCACATTTTCGGCGCAGACTAGAAAGCGTGGCCTGGAAACGATAGTGACAGATGGGTAGTTGGTACAACTTTTATTTGTAAAAACACTCTTGCCAGAAAGCACGTTTTCGTCGTGCCAGATACTCGCGCCGTGCCTAACGACGATGTACCAACAAGAAAAATGTGTGCCTCTCAAATACATAGCTTGCACTGAGCGCGAAACTTTTGCAGCGTGCATTTTGCCAAACCGGATTTGATTTTCTCAGCAAGAACAACTCGCAATGACAACCAGTATCTAGTGCGATTACGTCACGTGCAAACCATGTTAAATACTTCAGCTTTCTGGTGAAGTGCGACGTTCGCAACACCAGCACTAGACGTCCAATGTGTAAAGTTGTGTAGTATTTATAGTAGTCTCGCGATGATATACGGCAGCCTAATGAAATGTTGGAGCACATGACTGATAAAGAACAGAGTCATGAAGTAAGGTCTCAAAACAAGTGCGCGTAAAACCTAAGATAACATTAGCCTCCCGAGGTAGTATCCCGCGACGTTTCGAGCTGAGGCAAGCTGATGCCCAAAAGTGATTTATATTAGGATTCTAAAAAATCTTTGTTTGCCCTGCGCGGAATCTATGTTTAATTAGGAATATCATTTTATGCATTTCTATGCATTTCTTTTTGCAGTAAAGCGTTGTTTAAGGGATTATTTAGAAAAAAATTGCGTGTCATCTCCTTATTTCTGCACATTTCGTGTATTTGCCTTCCGATATATCATGTGACCACAGTGTTTTTTGGCATGCCCTGCAACCCACTATTTTACACTGCAAAACAGCTAACAAAAGCACGTTGCCGAAGACACAACAGCTGGCGTATTTTCGAGTATCGTCCTTCCGTGTTGGTCTCAGGCGGTTATGTGAACTTCATAAAGTCAAATTTATCGATGATAATAAAAATATACTTAATTCCTGTCTGAAGATTTGGCAGCATAAATAGAAGATTCTCACCTCCAAGATATATAAGTAAATGCGCCTTTAAATTATCTGAAAGATGTTCGGCAAATATTTTTCGGCGCTTTTATCCTCTATAGACACGTTATAGGTGATTTTGAAAAGATATAATGTTTTTTTTTATTATTTTGAAGCTAATTTAAATAACTATCTGTGTTCCTCACGCATATATAACTTCTTAAATATATAGAAGTTTATTATGGCGTTTTTTATGTGTTTTTACTATCGCCTTTTTTTACTGGAACGAGTGGTGGAACTATGACGATTGCACACTTAAACTCTCAGAAAGTGTCCAATTAGGTAGCTTCCGAATTGAGTAGAGCATGAAATACCACTTTGTTCTATTTAACAAAAATCATCAATTAGCGAGGGTGATGCTTATTTGCAAATTAAATTGACCTGCATTTTGTCAAGAGCAAACCTCAACATCCAGGCTATGCCAGTTTATCCAATATAAGGAAATGTTCACATGGGTAAGCACTGTTTTAGGTCAGATTCGATCTCAGTACTAAGGTGCTCATAGGTTAGAGTGAACAATTTCAGCCACTCCTTTTCGCATGATTCGTCGCCCGCA